GTGTGTAATGCTATCTTTTTCACGTGTGTAATGCTATCTTTTTCACGAATTTGAATTGGAATGCAAATTTATAACTGGAAGTATGGTTTACTTGATGCTATATCGTGTGGAAATTTGTAATGCCATCTGGAGGGAAAGTACTCTAAATACTGGAGATAGAAATTTTCACTTAAAGGAAATAAACTTTTATTTTTTTAAAGAAATAAAACTGCATTCACAGATTTTCGAAAATTTCTAGCAACACGCGGGAATCGAACCCGGTTTAATCTGAACCCATGAAATCTTAACGTATTTTAATAAACGAAAAAATGGTAATGTAACTAATTAGTTGCTCGAAATGAGCTCCATTTTCTTGGATACACAAATTTAATCTTTTAACGAATTCATTTTGAGTAACTTTTATAACTCCAGATTTCATGGTTTGTAAGAGAGATTTCATCCTCATAATTGACCCTATCGATTGATTTAATAAAAGTACAGGGTGCATTTTTTTAAAGATTTTAGCGGGTTCGATTCCCGCGTGTGGCTAGCAATTTTGGAAAATCTTTGAATGCAGTATTATTTCTTTTTTAAAATAAAGGAATGTTTCCTTTAAATAAAAATGTCTATCTCCAGTTTTTAACGTACTTTACTTCCAAGTGGCATTGCAAATTTCTTCCCTGTATATACAGTGTTATTTGTAAAAAATTAACAACCTCGCAGGACCATATCACTAACATCATAAACTAATAAACTTTTGTTCCATGAATTTTAATGATTCATCAGATTTATATTTGTAAAAAAATAAAAACATTTAAACATCGCTCTAGACGGTGATATCTCTGTGGGGTAACAAAAGAAAACACTATTGCACAAAGTACGCTTACACGTTTGAACTTACGACTTTATTAACAAACACAGGTCTAAAAAGTGTCAGATGGCACAACGAAAACTTAAAAGCTAATTTTTGGAAAAATTATTACATTTTGTGATAAATTATAAAAAAAACCAAAAGGTTTTGGAATTACATCTATTTGCCAAATTTTATTGAAAACGGTTACCAGAAAGTGCGCAAAACCGGATCTATCCCCTAGTTTGCCACCCTTAGAGGTGGAATTTTTTCTTCGATTTTAAATGGGACCAATACTGAGATACCCTCTTTCAAACAAAAAAGAATCATCAAAATCGATTCACAAATGCCGGTGTAATCGCGTAACATAGATACAAAAAAATATGCTGTCGAAATGAGAACCCCTCCTTTTTTTAAGTCGTTTAAAAAGTCATGGAACAAAAGTTGTTATTTATGATGTTAGTAATATAGTCCTGCTAGGTTGTTAGCATTTTACAAACCACCCCGTATATGTAACGTTTTTCAAACTTTTTATTATTTTTAAAGCAGTATACAGGAAAAATATGTTTACCTAAAGTTCAAGGAAGTAATGCACATAGAGTGGATAATACCTCTGAAATCCCGGAATTATTATATTGCATTTTATTCTATGGGCTATTGTTGGGTAGGACATGAAAAAAAAAGAGGCAGTACAATGTCCTACTTCAAATAAGGTGAGGTAGTGGTAAGAATGTTTGCACCTACGGCAATTACTAACAGACAGAATATTTAGCACATGTTCATAACTTGATGGTTTCAATCAATTGGATAGCTTAAGAGTTATGATGGTATAGTATAAATAAATGCAAATTTTATAGTACCATGGTAGTATGATCATGTGATGTAAAATCAGATAAAAAACGGGCAGTGCAGAACCAATCATTATTGCATTTGTTGAATTTGAAGCAATGTGACATGAGTGAGGTGTGAGGTGGGACATTTTTAAGACATGAGGTGTTGTGACAAACCAACCAAGCGAGTGGTACAAACGAGTTGCCTCGTTTATGACTAACTCAACACTACTATGGGCCGAATCCCTAATAAAGTCATTCGTCATAGAACTAAAAGTGACCGATATAGTACGCAAAATCAGTAAACTTAAGTGGCAGTGGGCCGGACATGTCTGCGGGAGGGCTGATGGCCGAGGGACCAGACTTGTTCTAAACTGGCGACCACGTTAAGGTAAACGTAGTGTAGGAGACCCTGCAACAGGACGGAAGGACGACTTTACTTGAAAAAGGTGGCCAGCAGTGCGCGGCTAGAAGCGGGCAACACAGAATCTACTATCGTTCTCCAATTTTCTCGCGCTGTCTCTAGTTCTTCAATACTTAAGTAATGCTCAACTTAATTAAAAAACGCGTGATGCAAATGAAGCTTCATACTTGACATTGTTTTTTATTTGTTACAATATTACATATTAAATAGCAATTGTTTCGGAGGGATGTTGGACGGAGGACAGGAGTAAACACCCAGAAGCAATTTACAAATGTTCAATTCCCTTTTTTATGTGGCAATCATGCCAACGACCACCATGTCATAGGACCACGTCAAACACTTGCACATGTATGCCCACGTGCTCTCGCACACACTCAAAATCACATCAAGCAAACACACACGCACGCACACGCGCACGCACTGACGTAGACGCTCACGCTCACGCGCACGCACGCACGCATGCACGCCCGCACGCACACATGCACGCATCACGCACGCACGCACGCAGGCACGCACGCACGCACGCACGCACGCACGCACGCACGCACGCACGCACGCACGCACGCACGCAGATGCACAAGTAATTGTAAAATTTACCCTTAAGTTGAGATATTGTTATTTACATTTCATTTACTTTAATTTTTATACTATTGCCAGTATATTGGGTCAAACTAAAAACGCAAACAAAATAAAACTCAATACATATGTCTTCCCTTAGTGTATGAACCATGTGCCAGATTCATGTGCCATTAGTAAATGCAAAATGGTCTCTGCGACACAAGCCCGAGCTTAGTGCAAAAGTCGCAAGTAAATAAGCGAGATAACTAATGAATAAATTCGCAATTGGCTAGTTTACTATGGAACTTGAATAATCTATATTATTTATTAATGTGTTCAGACAATAAACGATTATTATTATTATTATTATTATTACGTCAGATGACTGAATAAACTGAACAGATTCAAACGACTCTGCGACATCACCAAATTTGAGCCGTCAAAGTGACGTGGCATTTATAAAGAAACCATGGTCGGGACTACTTAATGTGATTCGTGATTGAACACTGAAACCAAAACCAATTCAGAAAAGTTCATTTCACTGAGATCTTCGAATGTAGGTAACCTAAACTACCAAGATTGGAAGATACACTCACCGTTCAGTATTAGCCGTCCACAGCACGATGATCTTGTCAAGTTTGCGCTTGTCCCTGAAACCCTTGATGTCCGCTCGTAGTTGCAGGTATTGCTCATGCTTAGTGCCTTTGATAAGGTTCGTAGCGCGTTCCGCCTAAGGATTGAAGGACATTTTATCATCACATACCACACTTATGAATATAATAGTAGCAATAAAATATGCGCGTACAGACTCCTTCTCTGACGTACTGCGGAAGAAAATTGCTTCTCTTTTAAACAGACTACGTAACAGAAGCAAAAGAAATGAAGAGAAGAATGTTCATTTTATTTTAAAAGGCGAGATACAAGCGCATGCAGGCCCATCTCTCCAGCATGGTACTGTCCCACCTGTCCACAATAACGTTCTGGATCCCGTTTAAGCTGGCGCGAAGTCTGCTTTAAACCGAAGCGCATCTGTTTCGCATGATGGCATGGAAACCGTTCTAGTAAGGCATCT